TTCTCAACAACAAATGGTGCAACACCATATGCTTGGACACCGAACCCTAAACTCTTTTTTTTTTTTTTTTTTTTTTTAGAGAAAAAAAAAGAGGGGGGGGGGGGAAGGTCAAGCCTTGGAGTAGTCCTGGACCTAAACCAATGAAAACTGAATTTCAAATAGAGTGAATATTAAATAGATCATTACAATAAATGATATTATCTACATTAAAGAAGAAATGAATGAACTTAGCTTCACAAGCCAAAAAAAGGAAAAAAAGGTCAAGACTAGGCCTGGACCTAAACCAATGACAACTGAATTTTAATTAGAGTGAATATTAAGTAGATTATTAATTTTCTTTTAACAAGTCTTACAATGACTAGCAATAATGTGGTTCAAATTCATCTTTGATGTGAATCAGACTTAAAACATCTTCACTTAATCGAACCTAAGACATTTCACTTAGAAGTGAAGAGGAACACTATTATACCTTAGTACTAAGTGACAAGTAAACTAATTTTTTAGACCATGGAAAAAAAAAGGTCAAAGTTTGGAGTAGGCTTGGATCTCAACCGATGATCACAACTGGATTTTAACTAGAGTAATGTTAGGTAAATTAATTTTTTAAACCAAATTTGTAAATTATGTGATGTGTCTCAATAGGAAATAACCACGTTACAACACTTAAGTAATATTCCAATCATTAACAACCACGTTATATAATTTACAAAATTTGATCTAAATAGTTGGTTTCTCTGATATTACCCAATTAATTAGATTGCACTATGTTTTATAGAGTTTATGCTGGCCTAATGTATAATTAAAGAAATTGATTAAACATGACCAACAAAAGAACAAAAGAGAAGAAGATCATGGCAATATTCTTTAGATTCTGTCACGTTAGATCCAATCCACACCATCTTTTATCTTGCTTAATCAGTTAAACATAATGTCATTAGCTCCACCCCAAGAAGAAAAAATGGCAATATGTCGAATGGCCTACTATGGAATCTAACCTAGCTATAAAAAGTAGCCACCGTTTGTATGTACTAACATTGGTAAGAACTTGGTGGGCATATACAAAATGATGTGAGACAAGGCATGAAGGTTTCCTACGGTGCTCTCTAGACGGAGCAGTTCTGTCATCACACACATATGCATATGCCCGGTGACCCACAAGGTTATGCTCTGTAGACAAAGCTTGTGCCCTTCTAATTTTTGGCCAGGGAAAGCACGAAAGGGTAAATTTTTTTCTTCTGGTTTTGTGACGATAGGAAATACATGCTTATATTGAATTGTGCCAAGTCAGTTGAGAGCAAAGCAAATATGTTAAGTATAGAATGAATCTACCACTTAGTATTACGATCTAATAGTATTTTTTCTTTATTTGTAAGTTGCAAGTGAGAGGTCTTAGGTTTGATTATCGCTAAAGGCAAATTTGAACCACATTATTGTTAGCCCATTGTGTAGCTAAACCCATGTTCATTCTCTTAGTGTAGATAATATCGTTTATTAAAAAAAAAAAAAGTATAGAATGAACCCAACAATAAAAAGAAGACAAAATTAAAATGTAATTAGCCCAAAAAAAAAGAGGACCCATATATATATACACAAGTGATATTATAGTTTAAACTAATTTGAATTATGGGGAGTGAGATTTAAAATTAAGTGTAAATGAACAATACATCTACTCTAGCCAATATGACTACACTAATGTTTGCATGATTTTACTTATTTAATTGCCTTAAGTAGAGTGTTAGGTAGCATTTGGGCTTAAATTTTGGGTCAGTTATTAGATTCATTAACCCCATTTCATTTTCATTAGAGATTTAGTGGGCTCTGTTTCCCTTTGGGCATAAAATTTGGAATAAGTTTTTCATTTGACTTTGGGCTTCAAATTTGGGATTAAATCTTAGTTTTGAGATGGAGTGGGCATGCAAGTTGGAATAATATGTTAATAACAGACGCCAATTGCACGGTTTGAACTTCTCACCCTCTCACCACCCATGCAATAGGATATCTCATGATTTCCGGATTTTGCTGTATTTTTTTAATTTTTAATCTGACATAGGCAAGGGGCAATAAATCAGACGAGCAAATTTACACATTAAGACAAGTTATTGGATTGATACAGGTTTAGATGTATTAATTTTATAAGGCTAAATTGGATTAATGGTCTCCGTGGTGAGAGGGTAATCGGAAGATAGTCTCTTCAATAAAAAAATTCAGATTTAAACCCTCGTAGTGAACTCTGTTGGAATTTAAATCCAAAATTAACATTTATGTACCCAAAATTAACAATCCCACCCTCCCCCCCCCCAAAGATTTCATTGAAGTGGTGGAGGAGAGATGGGTCTCTCTCTAACACAGTTTCCACGGTGTCCAGCTCCCCAAATTGTACGGCTCGGAACAGCCCATGTTCGTCGCTCTCTCTGCAACTCAACCCCTGACCCTTCTCTCTCTCTCTCTCTCCTCCCTCTTCTCATTCTCTCTCTACATTTGGAAATACATAAATGTGAAACCTTTCATTCGGCGAGCAATGGAGGCCACCATTCTGCCTTCAGGTGAAGGTGGCTCAAAGATACTGCTGAATGAAGTGCTCCATTGACTCCATTGATAACAGAGAAACAGAGGTTCAAAGACTGGAGCCCAGAACAGTGACGGTTTTTTGGCGGAGTTTTGCAATCAAAGCAGCAACATTCTTACCATCAAATAAATGGCACCAAAAAAATCCAAATCCATCTCCCATCCAAAAGAGAAACCCATTTTCATGTTTCTTCAATCTGCCGCATCCAACAGAAGAAATCCATTTCCGTGTAAATGAATACCACTATGTATTTTGGATTTTCATCGCCAATTTTCTCCTCCTATTGTTTATAATTGTAATATTCATTTTCATTTTCATTTTGCTTTTTGCGAGCAGAAAATCACAATCATTCTGTAATCTGACAATTGAAGAATCTTTCTTTGAAATCATTTTTTCTCAAATGGGCATATTTAGGGAATTCACTGATTAATAGACAAAAGATCTTTGAATGAATTCGAAGCATGGATCAAGGAATTCATAGCCTTGGATAAATAAGTTTTTTTTCTTTTGGTTATGAAGGTCGAATGGGTTAACAGATAGATGAGAAAAATGTTAATTTTAGATTTAAATCCTAACAGAGTTCACCTTAGGTTTAAATTCGATTTTTTTCATCACGAGAGCTATCTTCTAATTATCCTCTCATCACAGGGACCATTAATCCAATTTAGCCATTTTATAATGTAACCTTGGATTAACTTTAGCTGTATTAATTAGTACTTAATTCATTCCGGTCCTATTTTTCCGGTTAGTATCCGTACCATTTTTGAATTTTTTTAGAATACGCCAGTTCAGTATTATTATTATAAGTGTGTTGCATCCCCCACCTCCTTAAAAAATATATTACTATTATTATTATAAAGATTTGACGTTAAGAAAAAAGTATCAGTTGTCGACTATCTGATCTAATTTTTTTATGTTTTTATTCGGACTTAAGACCGGCAACATAAGATAAATTTTCACAACTGGAGTTTATGGCAAAATGGTTAGAGAGAGACCTAGGAAGATTTGGAAAGAGACTATTTGAACATATAAGATGAGAAAAAATCGGTTAAGATAATTTGGACACGTGAATCGAAAACTTATAGATGTTCCAGTTAAAAGATGCAACTATGAGATGAATGATTAGGGCAGAGAGGTAAAGGAAGACTTGGAAAGAGTATAAAAAAGATATTGAGTACTTGAAGCTAACAGAAGCTTTGGCACAAAATTAAGCGCAATGGCATTCCAAGATTCATATAACCGATCACACTCAGTTGGATAAAACTTGATTATTGATGTATGCCAGTTCAATTATCAGTCACCAAGTATTAGTACTTCTCAGTCACCAAATATTGATTTAGCACTAAACTAATGTTAATCTTGTTGTTCTAGCTGTATGTGGTGACTCTTTTTTCTACTTGTACGGTCCCTTTTTTTTGCGTATTTTTGCATTAACATTTGACTAACAGCTGTTGATTTTCTGATGAAAATTCTTAAGACACAACCTCATACATCCCACTCTCCCTCACCGGTGCCGGACCTTCCTCCCCAGGCGGAACCACCGGGATTATCGAACCTGCCAGCGTCCTTGAACCGTATCAGGCGATATTTCATAATTTCACGGAATTTTTGCCCCAGTAATTAGCTAGCTTGACTTTAGGTATTAAGAATTAATTAACTCCAATCCCAGTTTTGCCGTGCATTGGCAACCATGTTTGAATATATATATATATATATATATATATAGTAATGTTAGAGAGACTAAATTTGCAAACTAAATGATGTGTCACCAATAGGAATAAACATGTTTATCAACGTTTAAGTAATCAACTAATCATCAACTTCCATGTCTTTTAGTTTTCAAAATTTTATCTTCAAATTTAATCTCCCTAACATTACCCTTTTAATATATATTTGGGAGTATCTTAGCATAATTACCAGTCCGCGCCACATATTATTTGAGTGCTAAATTAGTGTTCATGCTGCTGTTCTTGCTGTCTGTAGGGACTGGTGCTTCTACTTGTGCGGTCCTTGTTTGTAGCGGATTTTGCATTAATATTTGTCTAACAACTGGTTCGATGAAACCGGATTCCGATAGCTGACTTGCAAATACAACTTGTCGCTAAAATACAAATAAAATTGAAAAACTGCATGTACTTCCGGTGTTTTGTCATTTTGCCATGCAATTTTATACGATAGCAGGTTGACGATTAACGGTGCGAGAAACCTGTGGAAAATATATCATATGTTTGTTTTTTCGTAAATAGTTCAGTTTTGTGCGAAATAATTTATTGGTTTAATATGTTTGAGTAGCTTACGTGTAGGTTGGCTCATGTGCAGGATTCGTAAAATCTGGCTTGAAAGTGACTCTTCTAGTGTAATATCTTGCTTTGCTTCTGATTTCTTCTCTCCTCTTTGATCGTTCCTGTTGTAGCATGTGTTTCTGATGCTTTCATACATTTCGAGAAGGGAATGCACTTACTGACAAATTAGTCAATTTAGGACTTCTCTTGTCTTGACTTGTTTGGCAAGTCGCTCGTCCTACAAAGATTCTTCATTTTCTAATTTCAAATTTCTTGGGCATGTTGGCCTACATGGTTTATCTACCCTTCTTGGTGTGTGATTTTCTTTTTTACCTAATATTTTTGGATTCTTTTTGTTTTGCAGCAGCTTTTTATCTTTTAGGTTTTATTTTGAAGGAGTTTGGTCTTATTCCCTCCCTTTTTTTGGTATTTTCCTTTTCAAGAAGGGTAAGATTTGTCCCCGACTCCCCTCTCTTTTTCTTTGATTTTTTTTTTTCTTCAGGAAGGGAAAGGTTTTTTCCTGAAATCTGATTTTCTTGCTTTATGAGAAGTAAGATTTAAGTCCCATTGACAAAGTGTAACTTGTCTTTTTCATATCAATAAAATTCCCTCAAGATTTAGAAAAAAACGTGTAGGTCGGCATCGGTGTAGTTTTTAGCTTGGTTTGACATATGTGTATTTACTTGTAGTGCAATTAATAAAATGAATTTTTTACTCATGAGTCGTGAAACATTTTTTTTCACATTATTTATTTGTTCAACGTTTAGTATAAAAAACTTGATATCACATTCAGAGCACACCATGTTTGATGTGCCTATATATACATGATAAATTGTTAATTACACTGCACCAGGAAAGAGTGCTCATCTGTTTATGTACTGCAGATTTAGCTGCATTTCTTAATGTTTTCTGGTTTAATTTTTTTAAATGATGGATAAAAGCAAAATTTTGGATACTGAGAAACAGAATTCTATTGAACTTCCAGCTCTCATCAAACATATATCATCAAATGAAGTGGCTGGCTTTGATAATGTTGAGGAGACTATATTTCTAAAGCCAATTGACCTTCAACCAATAAATCCATCATCTAAAGTAAGTGTATCTTCAACTTCGTCTTCGTGTCGACCACAAAGACTATGCATGTATTATTTACATAAATCTATTCTAATTTATATTATGTAATATTATGCCAGGGAATTGAAACGGCTGATTTAGAAAGCATAGTTGATGAATCTGAGCCCCGAATTCATCAAAGCGTTTATTCTGTTTCTATTAGCATGCCACCATCACCAATGGAAATTCATTTACAGAACAGCGAAAGGATGATATTCAGTGGCGAAACAAGTTTCAACAATGGAATTCCAAATTCTTCCGCTGAGACTGAGAGTGCTGGCAGCGAACTGCCAAAAGTCATAAAATGTCACTCTCAGCCAATACTTCATAGCTCTGACCTTGAGGAGGCAGTTAGCACAGGATGTATTTCTTATCATCCAGGTATTGAAAGGTTGAAAGATAGAAGGTTTGATACTTTCAAAACATGGTCCTGGAAGCTTGATAGGCAGACACCAAGTGCGGCGCTAGCAAAGAATGATAATAATGCACAAAATGTAGAAATTGAACGTTTGCCTGCAGACCGATACTTTGATGCACTCGAAGGGCCAGAGTTAGACACCCTTAGAGTATGTAATGTGTCTTTCGTATACTGCTCTTTTTTTCCAAGTTATGATCTTCAATATTAATTTTTTCTTTTCAACTGTCTCTTGTTTTATCATTATTTTTCTCTCAACTTTAATTTGATCAAACAGGATTCAGAGGAAATACTTCTTCCAGAAGACAAACAATGGCCATTTCTTCTCCGGTATCCAGTTTCTTCATTTAGCATATGCCTCGGTGTTAGCAGCCAAGCAATTTTGTGGAAGGTCCTTCCTACCTCATCCTCCACAAAATTTCTACACTTAAGCTTAACACCAAATCTAGTTCTGTGGTGCATTTCTGTTGCTCTTGTAGCTATGGTTGCTTTTATATACCTTCTAAAAGTGATCTTTTACTTTGAAGCAGTTCGTCGCGAGTATTTCCACCCAATTCGTGTCAACTTCTTCTTTTCCCCATGGATAGCCCTCTTGTTCTTAACTCTTGGAATACCACCTTCATTTGCTAACAAACTGAACCCAGCTATTTGGTACATTCTTATGACCCCAATCTTATGCCTCGAGCTTAAAATCTATGGACAATGGATGTCAGGAGGCCAACGTAGGCTTTCAAAGGTAGCCAATCCTGTTAACCATCTAGCAATTGTCGGGAACTTTGTGGGAGCATTGCTAGGCGCATCAATGGGACTAAAAGAAGGACCAATTTTTTTCTTTGCTGTTGGGTTGGCTCACTACGCAGTCTTATTTGTAACTCTCTACCAGAGGCTTCCAACAAATGAAACTGCAATCCCAAAGGATCTTCATCCTGTATTCTTTTTGTTTGTTGCAGCACCAAGTGTAGCTTCCATGGCATGGGCAAGAATCCATGGCTCCTTTGGTTACGGTTCACGAATTTTGTACTTCATTGCTTTGTTCCTTTATCTCTCACTGGCAAGTATAACCTGAACCTTGTTCCACTAAAGGATTTTATTTTTATTAAGACTAGTAATTTTAACATTTTTAATCCTCCTTTGCTGTTTGTACAGGCAGTTCGGGTTAATTTCTTCAGAGGATTTAAGTAAGATGCCACTTCCATTCATTTCTATGGCTAATCGGAAAGTAAGATTGCATATTTACACTTCAAGTTTCTAACATTTATTTGCATTTGCTCTATAGGTTTTCTTTGGCATGGTGGGCATATACTTTCCCGATGACTGGTGCTGCCATTGCAACCATCAGGTACTCGAACGAAGTCACGAATCCAGTAACACAAGCTCTGGCTGTCATACTCTCTCTCACTGCCACGATCATAGTCACTATTCTCCTCATAGTAACTATATTGCATGCCTTTGTGCTCCAAGACCTCTTCCCCAATGACATTGCAATTGCCATCAGTTATAGAAGTCCTAAACAAAACAAGAAGTGGTTCCACCTCAGACATGGAAACTCGGACACCAGGGACATTGACAAATTCTTGAAGTCAACAAGAAGTTTAGAAAATAAAGATTTAGAAGATGCCAAGCTATGAAGTTTGAATAACGATTACTTGTATGATATAAAGTCCACTACTCGAACATATAAATATGGTATTAAGTCCATGCTCGAACATGCGAGGAACATAGCTTCGAAATTTAATAGTTCCCGTGAACATATGTCGAGTGAAAAGCACATCTTAGTTAGTAAAGTAATAAGAGTATGTTAAAAATATGATTGCTGAATTGTACAATATTGTGAGAGAAGGGTGATGGTAATGTAGTATGTAGTGTGTGTGTGTGTGTGTGAGAGATAGTTTTCTGGAACCGCAAGAGAAGAAGGTCAATGATTTTGCGTAACCAATTGTATTATTGAAAACTAGCACCTTGCCACATGTGTCTGGCAATTGACTTTTTTTTTTGTCCGATAATGTATTATCTATTATTTTGTTTTTTTTATTTTTTTAACTTTACTTGTTTTAGTCATTGTTTTTTATTTAAATAAGTGCGTGACAATCAACGGTGGAGCTAGAAAAATTTTACCGGGTGGGCTAACTTAAAAATTTAAATCTTTATAAATAAAGAAATTTGATACCGTATTTTTCATAGTATCAGCTAGCTTAGAAAAAATTCACAAGGTGAGCCAAAAAATTTTGTGATTAAACAAATATGTGTTAAAATTAAACAAATCCAAACTTGTACATGTATAAAAAGCGATGAGAAAAATGAATTAAGAAAAAAAAAATGGTTTGTTTAAACCTAGATAATTCGAATTAGTGACTAAATATATGGTGGGCTACATTCGAAAATCAATCAAAGTTTTTTTTAACCTAGCTCCGCCAGTGGTGACAATTGGCATTTGTGTGTTAAATCAAAGTTTTTTTTAATTTTTTTTCATAAGAAATTAAGAAAGTCAAATTTTTTACTAAGAAAGTCAAATTTTGTTTTTTGTTTGTTTGAATTTTTATTTTTATTTTTTAAATTGAATGAGAGGAAGAGAGTGAGAGAACATGGGAGTCGGTAGAGAGGGAGAGCGATTTCTTTTTAATTTTTAATTTATTTAATATAAATTAAATTAGAGATTCATACTAAAATCACATGTAGATAAGGCTTAAACAAAAAAACAACAAAATTTTGTTTTGTAAAATTATGTTTCTGCCCTTATTATTATTATTATTTTTTTTGTTGTGATAGAAGACTAAATAGTCTTTTTACCTTCTTTTTGGTTGATAAAGATGGTTCTATTAATATACAGTTTAAATATTTTTTATTAAACCACCCACTTTTTGTTATTTTTTTCTTAAGTTTAAATTTTAAATTCATTAAAAAGGTTTTTAATTAAAATTCATTCAAAATTAATATTTATTGAACTATTTTAAATCCTTTAAAAAAAAAACACTACTTTAAATCCTTTTAATTCAATTGTAATTTTGTGATTTTATTTTTTGAAATCCTAATAGGTGAAGGACGAAGTCTCACTGTGTGTGTGATTTCCTTTTATTTTTTGTGAATTTGTTTGTGAATTTGTTTTTTCTTTTGAAATCACAGCGGGAGAAGGGCAATTTGTGAGGATGTGAAGGTAAAAGATTCTCATATTGGTGGAATGAAAAATCTTGCAAGGGTTTAGGTTGGGCTACTTCCCATATTACCAATTAATTTTATAGTGTAATCTCAATTTCTTCATAATTTTGAGATTATGAAAGCTTGATAAGGATTTGCTTTGGCTCTACATATGTTAAGTTTAGGCCTTTTATATAAAATGGAAGGAAAAAATTGGGACTTTTGATGATGAAAATTTTAAAAAGTTTGTTGACAATAGCCGTCGAAGCAACTAAGTCATTTGATTCTGGTTGTTTTGAATCGTACTAGGGACCTAGGGTTGTGGAGAAAAACTAGGATTCGTCAAAGGTTGCATCTTCATCACGAATAGGAATATACTATACAAGGACCTCTGATGCATCATCATTCGACAACCATGCCAGTCTCTTGCTGCCGGATTTCTCCCCTTTGCCCCGCCATCCCCGCCCTACTTCTCCATGCTAATTGCTATCCACCAAAAACCCTAGCTTGCTAGGTTTTCCGATTTCTTAAGTTTCGTGTGCTTTGCACTTTGCAGCAAAAATCATCCTTTTAAAGTAATTTATTATGTTTTATTTCTCTTCGTGTGGGCCACAACGCGTACGCCAGTAGATCATGGGTCTAAAAAGTCCGGTCCTGAACTGGGGTTACCCAATTGACACAAATTTTTTTACATTTGACGACATAGGACTTCATCTCGTTTAACATGGCAAGACGAGTAAATCTTACCATTTTCCCGTCATATAAAGGCCTTTTGGCCGAAAGCCCTCATTTATGATAAGTTCTAAATTTTTGTTATTTTTGCACTGGTAAATTTTATTTGAACCCATATAACTTCTTTTGACACTCAACTTATTCTTCACACCCATATTACTTTTGATTAAATTCTCAATATCTCTTTAAACCCAACTTACTACCTAAACTACCCTCACAAACCAAATTCAATATAAATTTATCTTTACACCCATTTAGAAAATAAAGACCCAAAATCAGCATTCTGCACCCCATTCTATTCGGTACATGTCACTCAATCTTTTATGAAAATAGCATTATTGAACAACATTGAACGACACTGCCAGCCAAGACATGCACTTGAAGTGTTCATTTTTTTCCTCATCACAATCAATAGAGACAAATATGGTCTTAAACTCATCTTAAACTTTTTGCCTTCCACTCTAAGCATTTCACAAAGTCACGTTCTTGCAATGCTGAGGGGTAAGAGCCTTGCAAGGCCTACACTAATTTGCAAAGAAGTAGAGGCACAGTTTCTTCTCATTACATGACCATAAGGGCACCTAATAATCTCGTACCAAAACAAGATTATGTTTTAATTGTCATAATCAAGATAAAAATTTAAACTCTAAAATTGAAGGCATATTTTTCTATGCTATGAACCTACTTGAACCTCACATTCCCATATTTTAATGAAATCAAAACATTTTCAATATCCAACAACTGAATTAAATTATGAAAAATAATATTGATTGAAATAAGAGACAGAAGGGGAAGCTTTTAGAGACTACATATATTTGTTTCACCAGATAGATGGACCTCAACACCTTCAAATTCAAGAACAGTCACTATATTGCTGCTATGCACTGCCATCAAAACTGCACACAAAGTATAGCCTCTACCCATGCACTGCCATCAAAACTGCAAGCAAAGTATAGCCTCCACCCTTCACGAATGAAACGAGAAGAAAGCATGACATTCGCACAAGTAGCTAGACTTTAAAATTTTAAATCCGATATATGTTTCTGCTAGTAATTATGCTTTAGAAAATGTGCTGATTTTGTTCCTAAATCTGTAAAAAAACTAAAATCAAACAATAAAAAAACTTGCAAAAATCGATTCATACTTTAGTTGGAGGATTTAAAAACTTCTAAATCACCATCCATCATTCAAAAAGAGTTTTTTTTTTTTTTTTTTTTTTTTTTTTTTTTTTTTTCCTTTCTCTGTGAGATCGTCTTAGGTTTTAGTTAGAATGAATGTAGGTTAAAGATTCCAAGATGGTAGGGTTTGATTATTGGGTATGCGTTTATTGATAAATTTTAGTTTTATTGTTCATTTCATATTGTAGTTAATGGTAATTATGCAATAGGGTAAAAAAGACAATTTATATTCAAAATTTAAGTTGGGTGTAGAAATAGGTTCTATGAGTTCAAATAAAAATTTCTTTTTGCATTTTGTTTCCATTTAGGGATTCCTAATGATGGTAGGGTGTGAGGTCGTTATAAAAGCAACTTTTTCTTTGCTATTAATGTTGTTATCTTTCTATTATAAAGGGAACTTTAACGAAAAACTCCCGGTACTATTCACTTTAACGAAAAATCACATTTTTACACTAAAAAGTCAATCATGTTACTATTCACTTTAACCTTTATTTTGTCCTTATTGTTAAAACTCAAAGTTTTCAAGTTCTTTTCATTAGTTTTCCTTATAAAGCAATAAACTTTGAGGCTTCTTTCATATATTTTGATGACAGGATTGGTGTTATTTTACATGTGAGAAAGTTAAAACAAGGAAGCACCATTTAACTAAGAAAAGTGATTGGATAATTGGTAATTCACGGATTAAAAGATTATTTGTTGCTGATATATCCTGAAACTGGATGTTATGGACTTTTTCATGTTGTTCAGATTAACGTTATTACTTTCATTTAATGTGTCAACTTTGGAATTGTAATACATGAATTCAAAGAAAACGACGAGATTTACAACGAGTCTAGTCGAACTTTGGGTGAATTGTGTCGTTTAATGTATTTAATTTGGGTTTTAATATTTTAAGATATTTTTGATATTTTGTATTTGTTTAATTCCTTTCCTATTTGGATTTCTAGGGTTTGTAGGGTGTAATTACATTATAAATAGGTTATCGTGGCCTTAGGTTTGTAATCTCATGTTATTATTTATTCAAAATTCAAGAGCTTTTCTCAATTTTCTTGTGAATTCCAAAATACTATCCAAGGATCAAGGATGACTGTTCGTGATCCCTTTTATCTATAGCTTTTGTTATGTCAGATAGATTTCAAACTTTTATGTTTTAGGATTCCTTTTTACTTATTACACAAAGTCCGTTGGTATCAGAGCGTGAATTTTAGCATATTGGGAGTGACTAGTGCTGGTTTTGCTTACTCAATTACATTCTTTACTCTTGATAATGATTTCTCACGTAAAACAAATGGAGCACTTTAAAGTTTTCAGCTCTTGTTAAATTACAGAGGCAGATGCATGAAACCAAAGCTTTTGATTTATGTCCGCATCAAGTATGTACAATATTATTGTTCATAATCTGCTTTAATTTCTTGTTCATTTGCATTGAATTTTAATTTGTGAAAGCCTTATCCCACTTTAACTGGGAGGAAGAGGTTCATGCACGCACTCAGTCTCAGTAGAAAACAATGTGACAAGTTGAAACGATAACGCTGCATGTAAGGGATGAAAGCTACATGTTTAGGGAATTGAATCCCAAGAATATCAACTAATCAGTGGGAAAGGAGGACACTGTCCATGTTCTGTTCACAAAAAGAGCGGTCAAAATTGAGTAGGGTTTTTTCCATTCCTCCATATACTGACATCTATATATGATTAGAATCTTCCGTGCTGAGATGGCTACATTCATTCTTTCTCTGCTAAAACAATCAAAACCAAGTTAATT